TGGAACTAGAACAGTCTACCCCAGTGATCGAAATAAAGGGTTCAGTTCGAAATTCCAACCACCTGAAGAAGGCCGGAGCGTGAACGGCCGAAACGTTGTGACAATATGGCGACAAAGATGAGGACAATAGTCCGACTAATGTAAATACTGTACATAATACCTCATCTCAGAAATATTTCAATTTGAGGTTTTTAAAATTTAATAAAAGAATATTGTTTTTGGTTTTTTTTTTTGCAGGAAACATTCAAATTTTTTCTGGGCATTGAAAAAAAAATCATTTTCGTTAATTCATAGCATTTGTTATTTGCATTTTTTAAAAATCAAAAATTCATTCATAAGACAATTCTATTTTTTCTTTCATTCAAATTTTTAACGGTATTTTGAATACATTGTATTTAATCAAAACCTTGTTTAGACAAAAAAAATATCTTAAGGAAATTTAAATATTTCGAACAAATGAAATCAATTTCTTATGATTATTGTTTTTTCTCTTAAAAAATCAGGAAAATTTAAAATTTAAATCATTTGCAATAATGAAATATTTCAAAAGGTTAATTTTTAAATTTAAAATTATTTATTAATATATTCATAATATAATTTTAAATATATAAGATCATTTTTTTTAATTTTTTAATGACCTTTAAATTATCTAAAATTTTAAATTCATTTTCACAATAAATAAGTATATTTTATTTTTTAGCTATTTTTATTTGATTTAAATTTTTTTTAATTTTTAAAAATTCATTTAAACCTTTTTATAATTTCATTTTTTTAAAATGTATGTTTTATTTTTTTCAAATTTCATTTAAAATTTTGCATTTATCACACAAACATGGGTATCTAATGACCTTTAAGATTATATTTCAATTTATCAATTGCCTTAGGTGTTTTATTGGTTTATTTTAATTGTCAAAAATATTCAATATGGACATTTTGATTTCGGTATTTATTTATTCTAAAAGAACTTTGATGTTGGTTGAAATTTTTTTTGAATTCATGTCTTGTGCATCAAATGTAGATGTTTACCTTGTTAATTTTTCAATAGATAAGATATTTTTTTGGTACAAATTTAAAATTCAGTGACATTTATTATTAAGATGATAGTTTTGAGGATTTCTGCAGTTACATTTATTTTTGTTTATTTTTTCATCAAAGATTTTATTATACTGTCTAAAATTCTTTTATTTTGGTCTAAAATTTATTTTTTATATTAGCATTATGTTTCTAAATAATCATTTCAAGTTTTCAGTATAACTCACAAAAATAAATTTTGGTATTTTTTATTGAAATTTCTTTTTAAGTATTTTAAATTCTTTTAATGATTTATGCAAGGAATTTTTTTTTTTTTTAGTTTTTTACCATTTAGTTGTTTAGGGGTTGTTTACCATAATTATTTTTTATTCTTTCAGTTTTTTCATGATTTCAACTTTCACTTTTTATATAATTATAGTTTTTAGCTTTTGTAATCATAATTATTTTAAAATTTTAATAAAGAAATTTTAAGTTAATTCTATTGTGAGAATCATATATATATATATGATATATATATATATATATATATATATATATATAATTTGGTTTGAACAATACACACAATGGTAAAATATTACCTTCATCTGTTTGTGGATGTAGATGAATTCTTTCAGTATATGTATATATATTAAATTTACAATCATAAACTGAATTGTGAAGTGTTAAAAATCAATTTGTAATATTTTATCCCAGTTTATTTGAAAAATTATGTTTTGATGTTTGTCATTTTTTTGGATTTCCTTTTTTTTCAAAAGTGATTTTTCTGCCAGGTCTGCAGAAAAGAGTTTTATTTTCCAAAGAATCGATCATTCTTTTTTGGCTAACGGATTGAGATTTTAAAGGACTGAATTTTAACTTAAAGAATTTCCATTTTTTCTTTGAATATAAATAAATATTAAATTTTATTTTATTTTTTATTCATATGAAAAATTTATTTGATTTATATAAAATTCATATATATATATATATATATATATATATATATATATATATATATATATATATATATATAATTTTCATCTTCGTCACAGTATGTTTCAAACATGCGTATATTTTTCTTAGGTTTATTTGTGATCTTTGTTTCTCAATGAAATGGTAATATATTTTGAATATTTTGGAATAATATAGTTTAAAATAAATATATTATTAAAAAAATTTTGAAATCTCCGTTTAACGGCTTTGACATTTTTCAAATGTTTTTTTAAGATCAATAGAATTTAAAATACTTTGAGCCTTTCCAGTAAAACCATTACATTGACTTAGTCCAAAAAATAGGAGAAAAATTCAAAAAATCCACGAAAATTTTGGGTTTTCTCTGTAATTTCCTAATGACTTGAAATTATTATTTCACTCGATCCGAGTTCAAATTTATTTAAAAGTTGCTATATTTTTGTATATTTTTTTGTTATTTTAGAAGAGAAAGCATGAATTTTTCTTTTTTTTTTGTCCCTTATGGGTTAAAAATTTTCAGATTTATTGTTTTTAAATAATATAATGGATCCCCATTGATATAAATACAATAGAAAACTGTATGTTTTCTGGGTTAGAGAGGATCTCCAGACATAGGCTCGTTCGAGGGGCAGAAATTCGACCAACCCCTTCTCTAGATCAGTAACCAATTTTATACTAGAAACTAAAGTAATTCAAAACGATCCTACTGGCTTTTCCATATCCCACATTAATACATTAACCTTTTTTTTACATGATCTGACAGCGTTTGTTTTGGTAAATATCCTATGTTGGAGATTTTTCTACAGCTGTGCTTTCCTTTCTTTTTTGCCTCCGGACAGAGAGGATCCATAGATTTTATTTATGTCAAGGGGTTTTCGAATTCGTCTCGGTAAACAGTTTACCCGATACACCGTTTTTTATATACGGAATATAAATCCTTTTGATATAAATTTTTGCATTTTTATTCCATTAAATTATATTTTGTCATCCTGACGGCAAAAATTTTTTGGTAAATATCCTGCAGTTGCAAGAGACATTTTTTTTATGATTCATTGTGGAATTTTTTGACTCAAATCTTTAAAATTGATTTTTTTCAATTAACATCGAATCTTATATGTTTTGTTTGCTTCCTAAACATTTTTTTCATTATCAATGTTTATTTTATTATTCTATTAAGTAAAAAGGTAATCTGGTTTTGAATGATTTCCAATCAACATTTTTAATGTGGATAGTTTCCATAATTAAATTTGTCCTTTTTTATGTCCCTAGTTTTCTCCAGTCTTTTTATCATAAATTCCTGTTCTTATTTAACCTTATATTGGAATAGATTTTGTTATGAATTCTTTTTTTTTTAATATATGTCTTGTCATAAAAGTTTAAATTTTTTTTATTATGATATATTTATATATATATTTGCATTGTAAAAATCTATAAAAACTGCCTTGATTTGTGTATTTAAAATGGAAAAGCATCTTCCTAAAATAATGATAAGATATTTAATGTTTTAGTTCATTTGTAAATCACTAGTTCTCTCATAGGTCAATTGGTTTCTGACCAGTGACATATTCAATTTCTTTATTCAAATGGATTTGGACACTATTAATTTAATTGCTTGTTTAGATTCTATATGGTGTTGTTTCGGTTTCAACAACGATTATTGATATTTTATTTTATATTTTTATGGGCTTTATATGTTTTTTTGGAGTAACTTTATGAAATATTAGGCATTTAAAATTTTCATATTTACAAATTTATCTTTTATTGATAGTTATTGTTGTTAAAATATATTCATGTTTTGCTGATTGAGTTATATTATATATATATATATATATATATATATATATATATATATATATATATATATATATATATATATATATATATATATATATATTGATTCATGTTTCATTAAATAATATAGACAAGTTTTGTCTATTTATTTTATATAAATTCTTTTCATATTGTCTGATAAGCTTAATAACATTATCATTAAACGAAGAAAGAAAATCACAATATTGATACATATTTTTATCCAATCTAAGTTTTCGGCTTACATAAGCCATTATCAAAGATGACAATTACATTACAATATATTCAACAATACACGGACAAAACAATAGATGATAGTCTGTTTTGTTTATATGGAAAATTTCAAGCAACAACAAAAACTAGTGCATATAAGACGCTGGAAGTAAAAATATATACTGCAGCTCATGACGTCACACATGATCACGCGAGAGTGAAAAGAGTATTAAGTATTGGAAGGAAATAAACCAATGGCTTTTGTTTCCAATTATAGGCATTTAAGAATATTTGTGGAAATTTCATAGTTTATTTTATTCAGGTTAGGTTTCAACTGTTTTATGTATATAGCTTCAAAAATTTTTGGTCTTTTTGTTTATTTTTTTCATGTTTAAATATAGTTTTTTTCAACAATTTTTCCGGAATTGTGTATGATACCAGGTATGTTGTTTTTTATATATATATATATATATATATATATATATATATATATATATATATATATATATATATATATATATATATATATATATATACATATATATATATATATATATATATATATATATATATATATATGTTTTTATTTAATGACCCTCCATGAATAGCATGGCAATAATTCATTTAAATATAGATAATGTTCTCAGCTATCAATTTGTTGATGCATATGCGATTATATACTCCTTTGATTGACCTTTTCTTTAAATGTAGTGTATTTACAGCCTGTATAATCTTTGAAATTTGAATAACGTTAAACAACATATGTGTTATTCGTATGTGCAGTCGTGTGCAACCTGCAAACTGCCAAATATTGTCGATGGCATATTCTTGTAAAAAGCCTTATATAAAAACATTTTAATAATTCATTCACTTAGCCATAATATTCATATTGATTTAATGAAGAACCAATTTGCCTGTTGAATTTTTTTTAAACATTTTTCATTTGTTGTAAAAGTGTTCTTTTTTGTCCAACTGAGATGGAGACGCTGAAATAAATGGCATTGATAATATTCGATAATAATTTCCTTTTTTTTCATTCTTTTCTTTATTTCCTTTCTTGTTCATTCTTTTCTTTTTTATACTGTTTCTTTTTTTTCTTTCGTTATTTTTTCTTTTTTATCTTAAAAATATCGTTCATTTATTCTTTTTTTTATTTTTTTTTTTTACATTTCATTGATCACTTTTTTTAAAAATTTAACCTGAGTAAACTTAATTCTTTCTTTTTTTTCCTTTTTTCTCTTTCTTTTTTCATTCTTTCTTTCTTTTCAGGGACCTTTTCTTTCTTTATATTTTTAATATCTTTCGTTAACATTTCCTTCCTTTCAATTGAATATATTTTCTATCTCTTATCTTTCTTTCTTTTATTCATTGAGGTTCTTTCTTTTTTTTGTTTTTTTCTTAATTTTTCTTTCAGAAATTCTTTTTTTTAATATTTTTTTAACGAAAAATTTTCAACCAGAATATATTTTTTTCTTTTTTTTTTTTTTTTTATTAATTTTGTATTTTTTTTTCTTTTTTAGTTTTTTTTTTTATACCTGGGGGAGCCTTTCCTTCCTTTCAACCTTTTTTATTTTTTTCTTTTTTTCTTTTCTTTCTTTCTTTCTAATATTTTTTTAAAATTTCCTTTTTTCTTTCTCATATTTTTTTATTTTTTTTTTTTTTCTTTCTTTCAGGCTAAAATGTTTCGTTTACACGTTTTCCTATTCATCAAAAGAATTCGGTTTCTATTTTTCTTTATTTTTTCATTCTTTCTTTTATTTTTCTTTCTTAATTTTCTTTAATATCTTTCCTCAATATTTCCTTCCTTTTTTTAACATGAATATATTTACTTTCTTTCTTTCTTTACATATTTCTTTCTTTTCATTCAAGCTTTCTTTCTATTCTAATTAACTCGTTTTTGTTTTTTTCAGATTTCAACCTGAATATATTTTAAACCTTTCTTTCTTTATTTCTTTTTTTTTAAATCGTTAACGTCTCCTTCTCCTTTCAAATAGAATATATTTTTTTTCTTTTCTTTGTTTTTTCTTCTTCCTTTTCTTTCTTATTATCCTTTCAAGAATTTTCTTTTGTGCTTTCTTTCCTGTTCAGGTCAACTTCTTTTCATGAGAATATATTTTTTCTTTCATTCTTTCTTTTGCTATTTTCTTTTTTTCTTTTCCTTACTTTTATCTTTCAAATCTTTTTGACAATGTCAACCAGAATATATTTTCTTCATTCTTTCTTTCTTTTCTTATATTTCGTTAACGCCTAAAACTTTTCTACCTTTTATTTCGCTTTTTTCTTTCTTTCGACAAAAAAATTCTCTTTTTCTTTCTTTCTTTCTTTTTTCTTTTTTAACGTTTTCTTTCTTTCTTAACCAGAATATATTTTCTTTATTCTTTATTTTGTTTTTCCATTCATCTTTCTTTCTTTCTAATTTTCTTTCTTTATTCAATCTTTCTTTCCATTTTTTTATCAACTTGCCTAGTTTTTCAACACGAATTTTTTCAAAATTTTTTTTTCTTTCCTTCTTAATATTTTATTTTTTCTTTTTTCATTTTTCTTTTTATTTCTTTCCTGTCCACCACCATTCTTTATTTTTTTTGCTTTTCTTTCATTTATATCATTTAAACTAACAATTTTCATTTTTCTTTCGTTAATTTTTCTTTCTTTTGTTCGTAATATGGTTTTTTCTTTTTTTTTTTTTTCAACCAGAAATTTAACCTTTCTTTTTTCTTCTTTCTTTTTCAAAATTTTCAAATCTTTTCGAACCTTCTTTTTTTCTATTTAATTCTTTCGTTTTTTTAAATTTCTTTCAACCTCAAATATTCTTTCTTTCTTTCTATTTCTTTCTATTTTCTTTCTTTTTTTCTTTCTTTCTTTTTTTCTTTCTTTTTTATTTTTAAAATAATTTCTAATATTTTCGTTAACGTTTTTTTCCTTTCAACCTGAATATATTTTTCTTTATTTTATTTTTTCTTTCCTTTTTTCAGATCTTTCTTTTCTTTAATTAGACTTTTCTTTTTTTTCTTTTAATATCTTTTCTTCTTTCTTTTTTTCTTCTTTTTAATAAGATTTTCCTTCTTTCAATTTTTTTCTTTCTTTTTTCTTTTCTTTTTTTTTTTTTTTTTTCTTTTAGAAAAATAATATCTTTTTTTTTCTACTTTTTTCCTATTTTTTTTCTTTTTTCTTTTTCTTTTTTTCTTTTTTCTTTCTTTATTTTCTTTATTTATCTTTCTTTCTTTATTTTTTTTAATGGTTTTAACTTTTTCTTTTTTTTTTTCTCCAAATATTCTCAAAATTTCTTTCTTTTCTTTTTTTTTTCTATCTTCTTTAACATTTTTTTAACTTCTTTTCTTTCTTTCTTTCTTTTTTCTTTCTAATTTCCATTCTTTAGCCTTTCTTTCCTTTCAACCTCTTTAAAACGTTATCTTCCTTTCCTTTTCTTCTTTCTTTCTTTCTTTTCTTCTTTCTTCTTAAGGTTCTTTTAATTCTTCACACAAATTTTCACCTTTCTTTTATTCTGAATTTCTATTTCTTCCTTTCTGACCATCTTTAGGAGAATCTGTCAACATCTTCATCATTCTTCTTCTCATTCCAGAATATTTCAAGCCCTCGGTCCTCTTTTTCTTTTTTCTTCTCATTCAAACTTCTTTTCTTCTTTCTTGATTTTCTTTAACGTTTTCTCTCTTTTCAACTTCTTTTCTTCCTTTCTTTTTTCTTTTCTTTCCCACCTGGATTTCTTTCTTTCATTCCTCTTCTTTCTTTTCTTTCTTCTTTCTTTCTTTGTCATTCTATCTTTCATTCTTCGTTAAGTTTTTTCTTTTTCAACTGGATGGATATTTGTCTTTTTTCTTCTCCTTTCCACCTTTTCTTCTTCTTTTCTTTTTTCTTCTTTAAAACAAGGATTCTAACGATTGATTTTTCTTCTTTAAATATCTTTCGTTTTCTTCTTCAACCTTAATTTTAAAATAATTCTTTTCCCTCTTCTTCTTTTTAGATTTCTTTTCTTTTTCATTTTTCTTCTCCCTCTTTCTTTTCTTTTTTCATTCTTTCTTTCAGAATTCTTTTCTTTCTTTCCTCCAATTTTTTTCTTTCTTTCCCTCTTTCTTTCTTTCGTTTTTTTTTCCGTCCTTTCGGAGTTCAATATTTCTTCTTCTTTAAAATATTTCTTTCATTCTTTTTTTTTCTTTTCATTCCTTTCTTTTTTTTTCTAATGTTTCTTTCAGCGTTTTTTTCTTTATTTCAACCAGAATATATCTTTTTCTTTCTTTCTTTCTTTCTTTGAATTTTTCTTTCATTTTTTTAAAATTCTCGTTCTTTATTTTTCTTTCTTCTTTATTTTCCTCTTTAAATTTCTTTGCAAACGACATTTTCTTCTTGTATCTTCTCGTTTCATTTTTTTCTTTCTTTCTTTCTTTCTTTCTTTCTTTCTTCAATCTCATTCTTTTTTTTTCTTTCTTTCTTTCTGGTTTTATTTCTGGTTTTATCATTCCTTTCAGAATTTTTTTGGTTCTTTTCTTTCTTTCCATTTATATTTTTTTTCTTTTTTTAATTATTTTCTTTCTTTTATTTCTTTTTTCTTTTTTTCCTTTTTCCTTTTTGTTTTTCCTTTCTTTTCTTCTTTTCTTTCTTTCCTTCTCTTTATTTTTTTCTTTCTTTTTTTTTTTTCCTTTTCAATCTTTTTTTCTTTCAAGCTTAAATTCTTTTTTTCTTTCTTTCAATCATTTCTTTCTTCTTAATTTCTTTGTTTCTTTCTATCTTTCAATCACAGACACTTTCTTTCAACACTTTCTATATTTTTTTTCTTTCACACATTCTTTATTTATTTATTTCTTTATATATATTTATATATATATATATATATATATATTCAACAAGAATATATTTTCTACCTGAACTAGTGTATAGTTTCTTTCAAATACGCTATTTAACGTTTCAACCCCTTTCAACCTGAATATACATTCTTTCTTTCTTTCTTTCAGTCAATGTATTCTCCTCTGGTTCAACCTTGGTAATGAGATAGACTTGTGTTAGTATTTCTTTCATTCTTTCTTTGTTTTCCCTCAATTCTTCTTTCTTTCTAATATCTTGAAATTTAACGTTTTTCTTTCAACCTTTTCTTTCTTTCTTTCAAATCGGTCTTTTTTCATTTTTCTTTCTTTTCTTTCTTTTATTTTCAGTCTTTTTTTTCCCCATTTAATTTCTTTCTTTTTCTAAAAGTTGTCCTTCCTTCAGGTTTTTTATAAGGTTCTTTCTTTTCTTTCTTTCTTTCTTTTCTTTTCTTTCTTTCTTTCTTTCTTTCTTTCAGTCGTTCAACTACAAAAGTTTCCCCTTTCTATGGAAAACCTCGGATATTTTCCATTCTTTCTTTCTTTCTTTCTTTCTTTCTTTCTTCTTTCTTTATTTCATTTTCGTTTCTCTTCTTTCTTTAACTGTTGTTGCTCTTTTCAGTTTCTTTCTGTTCCTTTCTTTCCTTTTTTCTTTCAATCGTTCTCAATTTGTTTTGATTATCATTTATTTTTTTCGTGTCTTTCCTTTCAACCTGAATTATTTCAATCAGAGTCCTTTTCTTTCTTTCGTTTCTTTCTTTGTTTAGTTTTTTGTTTGTTTTAATTTCTTTCTTTCAGTCACGAAGTTTCTTTCAGTCGTTCTTTCGCTAAGACCTTTTTTTTTCTTTCTTTCTTTCTTTTTTTCTTTGATTCAATCGTTCTTTCAATCGGCTAATAGTTTTCAGTTCTTTCGAGTCTTTCCGTGTCCCTTCTGGAGTTAGGCGATCTTTTTCTTTCGTTCTTCCCTGCCCTTTCAATCAGTTTAGCATTTTCAACCAATAGAATATGATTCAATCGTTCTTTTCAATCTGGTTCATTGTTCTTTCTTTCTGATCCAAGGACAACTCTTTCTTCTTAAACCTTCGTTCATTAGGACCTTTTAATTTTTGGTGTAAAGTGTCTCTATTCGCCCCTTAAAGTTTTTTAGATCTTTCTTCGAAACCTTTCTTTCTTTCTTTCTTTTTAATATCCAATTAACGTTTTCTTTCTTTCAACCTTTCTTTCAGTTCTTCTTTCCTTCATTTTTTCTTTCTTTCTTTCTTTCCAGTATATATATATATATTCTTTCAATCATTTTATATATATATATAGTTTTCTTCTTTGAGTTTTCTTTCGCTTTTAATTTATTGGCGATCGTTTTTCTTTCCAATCATATTTTCAATCAGAAATTTCTTTTTTCTTTATTTCAAATAAATATCTTTGTCTAACGTTTATTTCTTTCCTTCTTTCTTTCTTTCTCCATTCATTCTATCAATCATATAAATTCTTTATTTAA